CGGGGTTGATGCATCTGGCAGGGAAGCACTGGCACTCAGTTCGGACGTGTGCGTCGCCTGAAGCGTCCCGTGAAGCATTCAAATCCCATGAAGAACCGGAACATGTAAGCCAGAAGACCGACATGTACCTAACCGATGCGAGTTTGCGAACGGAAATCATCGAGCAATGCGTATTTCTGGACTTGCCTCAGCTTATTTTAATAATATTCTATTAAAAACAATTATTTATGGCTTTTTTTCTAACGGCAGCAGTAGCAGCAGCAGCATTTTTACCTCTTGCTCAGAAACGAGGATATTACTAGCGAGACCTTTGTCATTTATTTGATCCGGCCTTGTTTGCACCCAGTTTCGGGCTCCGGGTGCACTTTTATACGTCCAACGGAATAATTCTCCCGACTGAAATTTTTCCGCGTCATTCGTTTGGAAATCCTTTATCATCCCGAATGCGGATATTTTGAGTGATCGAGAGAAACAGAAATGGTTACAAACCAGAGCCGAACTACTGCCAAAATCCTACACGGTGAAGAGTTGATTCATTGTGTTGTCCAAGTGATCAAATATTCGTTCCATTAAATAGTTCAAGCAACGTCTAAACATTAATGGGCAAAAAATGTTCGGAGACAATGAAACGAGGCACCAGAAGAGGTGCAATCCACTTGAAACTGTTTTGCTTTCGAGGAGTTGGCCACATCCGCATTTGAATAGTGTTTGTGTACGCCTTAACGGACTGAGAGCGAAATGTGAAATTTAAAAAAAATATGAAAATAAAATAAAATAATCCAATCTGAATCGGTGTTGTTGTTGTTGTTGTTGTTGTTCTCCGTAAACCTCATTTCCACTCCGGCGGATTTAATCGTATTCTTTTTTTTGGTGAATTTCTGCACTCCACTTGATATCCATCATTTCCGCGGGCTGATTGTATGCAAATTCTGGAACTTCACAAAGATCTGTCTGTGTGAAATGATCATTGTACAATGTGGCTGGTGATTTTAATCAGAATCATCCCTTTTTTTAGTTATCACTGGCTTTGGTTATTCGTTTTCTTTTGTCTGACACACACACACACATACACATCTCAGTTATATCCACCATTTACCCTTCGTGAACCGTAAGAACACATGCGTTCTCTCAAGATGTCGACCGAAACTGGTCCAGACAACTTACGTCCTGACCGTCTTAAAAACAATATTGATCCATTGTCTCACGTTTGTGCGCACAATGCTAGTCTTTTCCTCGAAATTCGAACCGTTTTGCAGTGTGGAGGGCCAGATAAGAATTAAATCCATCTCGAAAAGAAGCAACACAAATGTCAATCGCAAATTGTTCCTGGCCAATTGCTTGCCCTACTTTCACTGGTTTGAAATTGTTGGAGCGGTCAAGTCTGCATCGTCCTCGGTTATCTCTCAACACTCTCGATGAAATTTATTATTTCGCATACAACCATAACCACTCTATAGTGGATGTCGTTTCTTCTCTATCGTTTACTTCATTTGTAAGTTCCTAAACTAGCAAAACCAAATATGTGCACTGTGCATTGTTTGGTCATTCTTTTTTACTTGATAAGTTGCAATCGTTTGATTGTCCCACTTCTCCTACTGAATCGCTTGGTGGTACTTTTTCGCCATGGTATGGGTATGTTCAGTTCGTAAAAAAAACAATCAACGGCACATGCTGAAATCTCCCTCGTTTCCGATAGTAAGATTGCACTAGTTCTGTTCTGATTGGTCGCAAATAGGAGCTTTTGTTCAACAATGTGTTTTCCCCGTACCTGTTTACTGTCCCCCCCCCGGTGATATTCCCTGGTTTACTGAAGGTTGGTTTCAAGCTACCACTGAGGCGTGGCCTCTCAATGATCAACCGTGTCTCCCAAGTTCCGTTATCGGTTCTGATGGACAATATCCGTGATGCTCGCTCATATTGACGCACGCTTGATGTTTACTGATAATATTCTATCTGATTGCACCAATCTTCTACACACATTGACTTGTAAGCATGCAAAGCCTATCCAACCCCACCAGTTCAAAATGCAAAATTCATCCTTTCTCGGATATCTGCCTACAGAGGAACCACTGCACCAAGTTGATTCGTGAG